CTGGAATATGACATCAACTCCTTGTTATACTCGGACAACCTGCAGTTAATGTCACCTCTCCAGTGGTGCCTGGTATCCAGTGGTCAGATAATTAAACTCTGTGCAAGATGCACAATGAGGAGATGTTGCCTGTTGTTTTTCATTATACTGTCCTGCTTCTGTTAATCAATTTACCCACTAATCCCCAAATAAATCCTTGTTCCTTCCTCGCATCCTTGTCACTCGTAGCTGTTTGACGTTGGGAACAAATGTAACAATATGATACTTAATCCTGGGATTACAACAGTGTTTGTGGGGGGGGGGGGAAGCCTGCAAACTCCAGACATAGAGACCAGTGGTGCAGAACAGTGATACTCAATGAGACGCTATATAACTTTATGCTGCAGTGAGGTAAAAAGGGACTTTATTTATTGTTGTTATGACATCTCTTGGCCACAAGTTGGAGACAGGGCTACATGGTGGATGTGAACATTCTCTGCAACCTAAACCCAAACAGGAAGTGCTCTCAGCTAATAAGCTTCACTGGTTCTGTGAACAGCTTGGCTGCAGGATTTGGTGCCCAATCTTAAATTCCTGTATGTTTGAGTAACTAGACTTGTTGGGGGGTCTTGTCTTGTCGATTTTCCTGCTTTTGATCTCTCTGCTCTGTCCTATGCCCTGTGTCTTGACTTGTTATTTTGATGTTGCTCTGTGTCTCTTGGTATGAGACCTCTTTTCTTGTCCTGGTTTCTGCTTCTGATTACTCATTATGGTTGCTGACACAAAATACTTACCTTCTCCTGACATCCATGCCCCATGTTGCAGATGTTTCCAGTGATGGGACTTAGTCTTGTAGGTTCATTTTCTCCACAAAGTTCATGATAATCCACAGAGGTCCTGTTGTGTGATAAGATGGTGGCCATTTCTGACGTACTGCTTCACTGAGGTCATTTCCTTCTCCTTTTCATTTTTAGTTACAAAATGTCCCTCCATAGAGCCTCTTTAATGATGTGCTGTGACTATTTTAACAGAACATGTCACATCACACAGTGTCTGCGCATTTGCTGCGTGTTACTGAGCGCATGTGTTGCACCTTTTTTCTTCTGAGAACAAAGACATTAAAGGATATCAGTGGTATCAGAGTGGACCAGGAAGAGAGAGCCAATCTTCAGAGGGCTGGGGTATCTGACAGACTCAGTCATGGTTCTTCTCCTCTTCCTCCTCCACGTCTTCTTCATTAGGCTGCCAGGTAAGACAGAAACATTCACTATTACGCAATTCACCAGAAAGGACCATAAAAGACGAACAATGCCTAATTATATCAGATTATATTTTCAGGTTGGTGTCTTTGTTTAGAGAAACAATAGAGAACATTAATATAAATTAATTTTCTATTTAATATATTACATTTTGTATTTCTTTATTTCCCTGTGTTCTTGCTTGGCATCATTTATTGTTCAGTGTCATCACTGGCTGTTATTACTTATACTTACTAGTGTTGCTGGTACATGATAAGTTGCTCTGTATACTGTAATATTTGCTTTGATAGAAGTTGTTGTGTAGAAGTATAGTTGTTATGTAGCTCCAGATCCAATACAGCTGACATTTGTACCTGTGCATTTATTAGAAGCTCAGCCTTGCTGCACTTATGCTAGTTGACATATTGACAGCACATATGTCTGTAATGTGCTATTTGCCAAAAAAGAAAAA